GAGTATGAGTCATTCCCACGTATGGGTTCGTTAAGTTGCTAACCCGAAAACCTGAGAAGCAAGACTTGGATTTTGAAGGGATGTTTCCGGACAGTCCTGGCGCCCAGTCTGAAATTCTTTTAGCTAGAAACATGTGTCGGAAAAAAACAGTGCCGTTAGCGACAAAAATCTGCGGGAAACTATGCAAAAAACGCATCTTCGCACGGACAGCCCGTGCGTTGGCCAATTATTTATTTTTCCTAAATTCAGCCTCAACTATATAAGTTACTTATTTTTTAGGTCACGTCGCTTATATGGCTGTTCATTTCTCGATGGCTTTGACTCTCTCTCCATTCTCATTATTTCTGGTCAGTTGCTCCGAATAGATTTTCCTTAATTTTCAATCCTTATTATATCGGTCATATTTACGGAAAAAACATTAACAAAGCTCTGTGAAAATATTTCGTTGCTAAGGTGCACACAGTGCGTCTGTTTCTCAGCACTGAGATATACTCCTGCTGTGGATATCCGAGGCTTAAATTGCTTGTTGTAGACGGACAGACAGACAGACAGACACACACACAGATAAATGCATACATACACACACACACGCACACTCACACACATACACACTGACATCCGCTGAACAAGTGCACTACTGATCAGGTGAGCAGCGCTATAAAAAGCGCCGCAGTATCACTCTTCCGCCTTCAGCAGATGCCGCCAAATGATTCAAATACGCTGCACCAGTTCCACACTCTTCTCGGGGAAAGTGAACTTTTCAGGAGGAAAGGGGAAGCGCGCAGAATGCTTAAAAGTCAACAAATGAGTGAAGCAGAACGACGGCCTATACGGTTCACTAACGGTCTTCTTCCTTTTGCTTATTTATGAAAAAATTAGCCATTTTCAAACCGTACCGGAACTACGTATTAACACGAAAAGTACTTACCAGAAGGACAGAGAGAAGTGGCGCACTGTGCCCTTTTGAAGTGTAATTCGAACAGTGAATCAGGCTTCCCTCCACAATCTGAACTGCTATCTTTCGAACAGCATTCTCCTCGATATTTACCGTTGCTCGCAAAATTGACAAAAATATCTAAAGATGAAAAAGTCAAAACAACAGTATCCTCAGTTTAAAACAATGTAATGAAAGCTGTTCAATAACCACCGCGTACTGTGCAGATTTTTGAAAACCAGATCTGCGCAAATGTATTCAAAAACGCATTTTTCTAGTGACAGTCTTTTATTAGCTGTAATACCTGGAGGAAC